AGGTGTGAAAACAGTCTAGAACAGTGGCAGTGTGGACTTCCAATAAATGTTAGCCTCATCCTTTTCCCCACATTAGTTCCTTTGCTTTTAAGAAAACTGCTAAAATACAGAGGAAATTCACTCCCTCATTCAATTAAACATATACAGTTATTGTCTACTGGGCCACTATGTACAGATGTATAGGTTGTTCCCTGCTGAAGGGAGACTGGTGACTGGATTCCAGCCCATAAACACTCATCAGGCTTGGTGTTCTGTTTCTAATTTGCACAAAGGTGCTACGTGTGTGTTTCAGAAGTGACAAAACTGGGCTTTGGCCACATGTAGCTTGTAGCTTGTGTCTGAGGGGAAAACAGACAAGTAATCAAGAACTACAATACATATTGAAAAAAAAGAAGTAAAAGAAAACACTACAATACATATAATTAACACTAGTCTAAAGAAGGCACTACAGGAACAAAAAAGACAGACATTTAAATCAGACAAGTTGGGGGGCCCAAGATTAGCGGCCCAGGATCAGTCACTTAAAGGATGATGGGGAGATCGTAGAGAAGGATGTTCTAGGCAGAGGAGGGACATTTAGTTATTAATACATTTATCCATTCAGTAAATGTGTTTTGTTCATGTCTTTTATTAACTCATATACAAGTAACTGTCTTCTGGTTTGCTGAAGCAATAAGTGAGACATTTGTCACAGTAATGTCTGCCAAAGTGGCTGGCCATAAACACTCCAGCATGACATTCATCTGAAGAGCACTCTAGATGAAGGTGACTTATTTTGCCATTCTCATCCACCTTACAGTATTTCAGGACGGCCAGCTTCGCCTTCTTTTGCTTACACTTATTCTTCTCAGGAGTGGTATAAACATTCAGTAAATACTAACTGAATATCTAAGTGCCATGTACTGTTCCAGTACTGAAGATACAACAGTGAATAAAACAGACAGGATCTCCTTCCTTGTAATTCTAACATTCTAGTAGGAGAGACAAAAATGATTGGGCCACAAAAATATTAAGTAGTGAGATGTACTTTGGGAGAATATAAGCAGGGTGGAGGTGCTGGTGGTGGGTAGGGTGAGGATGTGACCTTAGAATGGAGAGTGGAAGAGTGGGAGAGAAGGAAGGCCTCTTCAGGTTGGTGTCATTTAAGCTCAGATCTGAATGGCAACTGTGGGAAGCTTGGGTTGATCATTCAGGCAGTGGGAAGAGCTGTTGCAAAAATCTTAAGCAGGGAATGAACTTTGTGTTTTTGAGTTGGCAAAGACCAGCGTGGCTGAAGTGCAGTGAGTGAAAAGAGGGGCAGGAGATGCAATACGGAGAGAGGCAGGTGCCAAACCTAGGTGAGGTCTGGAAGCTTGAGAGTGGTGAGCTCAGAGACCTGCTAAGAGTTTGATATGGCATTAGGAAAGGGACTGTGTTAGGTGATGAGAGAAGTGATTTGGGAGATATAGGCAAGAAATGGATTCTGACAAGCCCTACATGGAGGATCTGGGAGGCATTATTTCTGCTCAGTGCCATGCAGAGAATCCAAGAAGGCCATGACTAAAGTCATTCAAAGAAAACCTTTCATGTTTATGCCTTCAAGGAAGGTATGAATATGAATCTTATCTCTATTACTTGTTCTTGAATCAAAGTCATCAACACACAGACTCTATGAGAACTTAGAACTTTTCTCGAGTGTGCCCCTAAATTCTGATTAATGTAAAATTTATTTTTGCAATATTTGAGTATACTTACCCTGATGGTGATTTCTGTTCGATGAAATATTAAACTAAGTTGTTTTATAAGAGGAGAATATATTTTACAATGACTTAAATGTTGAGGTAGCACATAATGTCATGTTGGTAACAAATATGTGATATTTATTTACTAGAGCATGAGAGAATTTTGCCTACTGGTATATGACACAGACATTGCTATTTGTCTACCTTATATCCATGGTTTTCCCTTCATTCTTAACAACAGAACCTCAATTTTGTTTGCCAATGAGCCCAACCAAAAAGACTTGTGTTTTAAACTTCCTTGCAGCTAGGGATCATCTTGTGACACGGTTCTGGTCAACATGTAGGTGGAAGTTTCTAGGGAGCGTGATCTTTCCTGAAGAAAAAAGCAAAATCTGGAGTCCCTTTTCCTGTTCCCTTTCGTGCTTCCCCTTCCTTTCTGGTATTTGTAATCATTTAGTGACTTGATGTTTGGAGTCTTCTAATTTCTTTAAACATGATGCAAAACAGTATGTGGAGCTGAAGACCACTGTCCCATGAGGAGTTGGGCTAAAGCTTTGTGATATTTGCATTGGTCTGGAGCTAAACTGTAGATGTAAAACTATAGTAAGGTAATTTTATCAAAAGTACACTATCTCTCAGAATTCATTATACTGAAGGCTATACTTCACGTATGTAGTGATAAGTAGTTTCTCCCTTTCCTTGATCCAGAATGTATGTATGTAGTGATACATAAGTTTTTGCCTTTCCTTGATCCAGAAAAATCTAGTCAACAATTATTTCTTAAATGTTCATTTAACTATATGTACACTGACTATAATTTCAATTTCAAATGTAACACTTCTTTTTGTGCCATGAGGGATACAGAAATGATGAAACCAAGATTTTTTCAAGTTCTTGGGTCTACAGATTTAAAAAAAAGAAAAAAAAAAGAAAGAAAAGTAAGAAAAAAGAAAAAAACAAATTAAAATAAAAAAAGATTTTTGTTCTTAGAAAGCTGATAATTTCATGAGATGACACATGTGTTCACAAATAAATGTAAAACAAGTATGTATATGATGTGGTGGGCCATGGCCAGGCCTGCCCAAGAAAAACTAAGTGGATGTGAAAGGATTTGGAAAAAAAGCCCCAGCCCCAAATGCAAAGCACACATTTCCAGGGCTGGAACCTGGACGTTAGGCCTAGGTGATGTGCCTCCAGAGTGGTAAAACTGTTGCCTTATGTATAGTACAAGTTGTTTCTGGATGGTGAAGAGCCTAGGGTTATTAAAGTTATTGAGTCTACAATTCTATGAGACATCTCATTCCCTGGAGGCCCTGTCACTGAGTTGCAGTGTGCCTCTAGATACAAGGAGTCAGTGCGAGCTGCTTCCTCCCCCGCAACCTGCCTCTGCATCTGGTTTCTGTGCTCTGTGCAGTTTACTGGCTGCTTCAGGATTAAACAAAGTAAAAGCAACCCTGAAATGTTGCCCATTTTAGCATCTTTGAGTAGGCCGTGTGGGGAGGTAGTAAGTGCCATTAGGCGTTATTAGGATGAGTATCAAAGAGTTGTGAGGAGGAAGAAACAATTCTGGCTGGAGGCTTCAGGAAGGTGGCAGCATGAGCTACCTCTTGAAAGGCGGATAAAATTTCTTAAGGTGAAGATGGGAGGAAAGGCATTACAAGAAGAGGAAAGAATATGAATGAGGAAATGGAGGTAGGAGAACAGAGCTGTGTATTGGAAATGAAAAGCATCCCATTTGGCTGAAGAACAAGGACTGTATGAGGAAGCAGTGAAAGATGAGGCTGGAAAGGGAGTCAGGGCCAGGCTAAGAAGGTTGGCATTTAAAAATTAGTCATGGGAACCATGGAATGTTTTTGAGCAACTATTAAAGCAGGTGGATTAGTAAAACAGAGGACACACAAATAAATCTGGCAGCATTACTGAGCATGAAACATGGAATAAAAGACTGGGAGGTCGCTTAAAATGCCCAGGCATGAACTGAGGTCACATGTGATCACAGAATAGGACAGGAATTTAAGAGTGTTATTTTAAAACTAATTGCTTTGTGTGTGTGTGTGTGGGGGGATGCATCAAAGAGAAAAAAGACTGAGAATTTGAGTTTTGGAATTTAACATATGGGAGGATAATAAATAGTACAGTGAACAAAGGGAAGACAGGAAGAAGGAAATATAGTATTTGTTTCAGAGATGTGGGGTTGAGGTACAAGTGGAATATTCTGGTGGAAATGTGCTACAGGCAATTGAAAATAGAAGAATATAGCTCAGCTGAGAGGTGGAGTGGCAGATGACTCACATACATTGAGGTGAGTCAGGGACTTTGATCTGTCATAAGCATAGTATATGAACCTAATAACAGGCTCTAAATACTTGACAAATGTCCTAACAAGGAAGTCAGAGATCTAGGAGAGTCTTGAGAAAAAAAGCAAAACTGCGATTATTGATATGTATAACTTATGTTTGTTTTACCAGCTGTGAAGTTCTCAGAAACTTCTATCCTCAATTGACCTCCCAACTGGCAGGTAGTATTGCCAAGGAACACATTCTTGAATAGAAACCCACAATGCTGAATTGCCATATATTCCTAGTCTAGAATCTGAGATATACACGAACTCCATAACTAAGTAGACGAAAGCATCCCTTTTTTGGGGGGCTGGGGGGGGGGCACATAACCCTGAACCACGGTCCAATTACAGGTACAGTACTGATGATGGCTAGTTCATGGAACTAGTTAAAACTAAAACCATGGAAATGTTCCCCAGGAGAGGTAGGACTGTGTGCCTGGCAGGGGCGGCAGGGAAGTAGGGGAAAGGTTAAGGAGAACATCAGCCTCCGGAGAAAGAGAAGCAAAGGTGATTGCATAGCTGCCAGCTGGAAGCTGACTCCTGTCATCGGGCGTACTCGCCCCCATTGCGCATCGCCGGTGCCTACCTCACCCAGTTCCAAGGCGGGGGCCGAGCGGAGGCAGGGGTGGGGTCACCAGGAGAAAAGGAAGTGGGCAGAAAAGCCCGTAGGGAAGAGAGGGCTGGAAGGAGGCCCCGGCCCCAGCCTTACTACGTTTCCCAGAATTCAGTGAGGCCACGAAGACAGGCTCCATGGGCGCGGACGGAAGACCGGCCGCATGGGATTTGTAGGCAGGATCCGCGCCCCGCCCGAAGGACGATTCTAGCGGGGAGGTGTGCAGGGATTGGCTGAGGAGCGCTCAAGTCCCGCCTACATGATGACGTCAGGCGGCGGTCTTGCTACTTAAGGCGTCGAGGCCTCGCCTGCCCCGCCTTAGCTCCCGCGCTAGAGAGAAACATGTATCGTTTCCGATCACAGCTCTTCACGGGGATTTCTGCTGCCGCCACCGCCCACTCTTACCCCCGCCGTTTCTCGCCTCTGTTGTTAGCCGAAGACTCGCCTCTCAGCCGCCCGCCGCACAGACGCACGAGTAAAAAGTGCAGCTCCATCGGCTGATCCTCGCTAAGCTCCGACTCTAGGCGGCACCGGGCGTCCCACGATGCCGAAGAACAAGAAGCGGAACACTCCCCACCGCGGTGGCAGTGCTGGCGGCGGCGGCTCAGGAGCAGCTGCAGCGACGGCGGCGACAGCAGGTAAGGGGTATCCCCGCCGCCGGCATCCCGGTTGCCGGCCAGGCTGGCAAGTCTCCCATGCTTGGGCACGGTGGGAGTTGTAGTTCTTTCTCTGCTCTACACGTTTGCGTTTCCAGGGTGCGTGGTTTGGCTACTGAACTACAATTCCCAGCGTGCCCTGGGCGCCGCTCCTCGCGCGATTTAATCTGGCTTGCGAACCGGACTCTTGGGCACCGGCTGTGGGGGCGGGGAGGAATGGGTCCATGGGCCTGAGAGTGTGTGGGAACAGGGGCTGACCGGGAGCTGGGCGGGAAAGGAACTATTCTCAGAGTTCCTTTCTCTGCGGCGCTCTCTCCCTATCTTTCCCTGACCACGGGTGGGGAAGAACAGGGAGTTGGGTCCATGCCGTCACTGGTCGCCTTTGAGCGCCCGGCTCCAGTATGGAGCTCCTGGGATGCCAAACGTCCGGCGGGTTTGGACGAGCTCTTGCGTCACGCGGCCTGGGCCTTGCGCGGTGGGCCCGGGGTGACGCAGAGGCGTCGGGGAAGTTTTCCGTCCCGCCTGTCCACCTGGCCAGGCGGTGGCCTCGGAGGCGGGGGGGACCACTTTCTCCCCCCTAGGCTGTGCTCCTGCCCCTAACTGGCACCTACAGAAGCCCCGAACCTCTAGCACCTCTGCGATCACCCGAGGCGACCTCCTGCTCACGGGGGAAAGAAACGCGTTCCCCTTTGTGCTGCATTCTATATGTTCTCTGCAGTGAGCCCCAGAGAGCCAGGGTGTTGGGGAGCTTAGGTTGCAGTTGGCTAAAAGTTGAGGTTATTGTGCCCTCGCTACGAAGTCGAAGTTTTTCCTGGGTGGGATGGGTAGGTGCTTAACCGAATTTATGGTTTTCTACTTATCATATGGTTAAGAAAAAGGATTCCAATTGGAATTGGAAGGCCCTTCTAGGAGAGACCCCAGTAAACTCAAATCGAGTATTAAATAACCTGGTAATATTTTATTTAGAAATTTAAACAGGAGTTAAATATTGGAGTATTCTCTGACGTTATCGCACTGGAACTACTAGCTGTTAGGTATTTTTGAACACGGTTGTCACTGTCACGGCTGCCACTCAGAACGATATGCCTTTGTTCCCAAGAAAAGTAAATATGCGGGTTGTGTTGTTAAAGGTTATTGGAAACTGGCATTTAGAAAGCTCAAAAACTCGTGATCATGTATTAAACATTTAATACTTGACCATAGGGAGGGATTCTTAAAACAGCAATCTTTTCCATTTTTTTAGGTGCCTCTTCATTTTGAATGCTCTCCATGTTGATGAAATTCATTTTCTATCAAGATGTAAAATATGTAATTAGTTTATTGTGGCCTCTGGTTGCTCTATGTGAATTGAGGATACTTTTTTTTTTTTTTTTTTAAAGGGAAAGGGAGTCTGTCTGTGTCGCGTAGACTGGAGTGCAGTGTGGTGTGATCATAGCTCACTGCAACCTTTTAACTCCTGGTTTCAAGCAATTCTCCCACCTCAGCCTTCTGTAGCTAGGACTATGGGCATGTGACACCATTCCTGGCTATTTTTTACATTTTTTGTAGAGACAAGGTCTGTGTTGGCCAGGCTGGTCACAAGTCCCTCGTCCCCAGGGATCCTCCTGCCTCAGCCTCCCACGATGCTGGGACAGTGCCTGGTCTGAGGATATTTCTTACCACTGTGTTTCAGCTTTTCCTCATCTGAATCAAACATTTTAATTCTTTCTAGAAGATACTTATTTTATTCTTTTACCCTTTTGTTGATGAAATGGAAAAGTTTGAAAGCTAAAGTTTGAAAGTTGTAATGATATTAGTAATGGCCTAGATCAGGCACAAACCTTTATTCCCGTCTAAAGTTTCTGGGCAAGCCTCCTTCCCTCTTTGTGCTTACAGTACCTCTGGTGCCACTCTGGTGGCTGTGCGGGGATTGCCTTTTAAATTTTGCCTCAGGGCTCATTTGTGACCTTTCATCAACTTTATTGCTGCTACCTTTTCACTATTTTAGTAGAAAAGATCCATTTCACCACTGAATTTTATCATATGTAAACAAATAGAAAATAATTCTTTGATTAATTTATAACACAATACATGCTTTGAATATCTTTGGAAGTATGTGCTAGAACTTGTTAACTGTGGTTGCCTCTCAGAGGTGGAACTGGGGAAAGGGATGGGGGTGAGATTTACTTTTTGAAACTTTAACTTGGTCCCATGTGAATGTTTTATGTGTTTAGTAAACAATTAATAAATAATAGTTGAGTAGAAGAGATGGAAAATTACACAAACTTTTGCTTACTTACAAGCCACTTACCTAATTGTTATTTTTAAATGACATCTAGAAGAAATGGGATTCAAATGAGGTCTCCACTATATAACCAAATTGTCATTATTACTTTAATGACTTAAACTATTTTTTATGTTAGTGGAGAGTTTTAGGAAGGTAATAAAATTGACTTCTTTTATACAGGTATGTCATAGCACTTAATTTAAAGAGAATGTTTTCAAGAAAGAACAAAACCTTGTTAGTAAGCCCTCTAGAAATAATTACTTTATATACCTAGAGTGCCGTCTCTTTCACGGTACTTAGGCTCACAACGTGGGTGAGTTTGACCTAGATATCAGACATTCATACAGGGTTTTTTTTCTTAATATATATATGTGTGTATTTTTTTTCTTTCCCTCGAATCTTAGAAATCATTAATACTGATGAGTTAAGGGACCAGACTAAGAGTTGCATAGGAGGAATACTCTCAGAAATAGGCTATGAAAAAGAAAATCTGTGAATTGACTTGTGAATAAATGTTAATAAAATTAATCAGATGACACTCATCTGTTGCCATGACTTCAGTCATAAACACGAGGAAGATAGATCCAGAAATAGAGTATGATGTCATAGGTCTTTGTTTATTCCTGTCCTAAGCACTCTAAGAAATTTTGAGATTTTGGCTTCATTACTTAATCTTTATGCTTTACTACTTTGGCACCAAGCAAGCAAATCTGAAGGCCACTTGCTTGCTGTGTTAATTTAAAAATCTGCTAAATTCTCTGTTTTGATTTTAAAAAAAGACAACTCCTTTAAAAAAAAAATCCAGCCCAACAGTAACAGGCTTAAATTTGGAGCATTAAAAAAAAAACAAAACCCTTAGGGTGGTGACGTTTGAACATAGGAACTTTGATTTTACTGAGAGGGAATTAGGTTCAGAGGTTAGTCAGGTGACTCACTGTCACTTTTAGGGCAGCATTTGGGACTTAACTCAGTGCTGATTGTAGTGCATGACTTGGCAGGCCTTTTATTTAATGCAAAATCCCTAAGCGACTGTGTATTTATTCCTGAAGTTAATGAAGTTGAAAGGAAGATTCTAGTTTTTAAAAAGATTTTATTTTTTTTTGTAACAGCATTGGTACTTTTTTTTTTTTTTTTTTTTTTTTTGAGACAGAGTTTCACTCTTGTCGCCCAGACAGGGAGTGCAATGGTGCTATCTTGGCTCACTGCAATCTGTGCCGCCTGGATTCAAGCAGTTCTCCTGCCTCAGCCTCCCAAGTAGCTGGGATTACAGGCGCCTGCCACCAGGCCCAGCTAATTTTGTATTTTTAGTAGAGACTGGGTTTTGCCGCGTTGGCCAGGCTGGTCTCGAACTCCTGACCTCAGGTGATCTGCCAGCCTAAGCCTCCCAAAGTGCTGGGATTATATGTGTGAGCCACCTCGCCCCGCCAGCATTGGTACTTTTAAACTCTTGTACGTTGTATAGAACCTTTCCCTTAAAGGTAGTTTATCTGATAGGCTTTTATACTATATCAAATACCAAAACTTCTATTTTAAACCTTTTTTTCTTCTCTCACTTTAAGTTGTCTTTAAAACTACCCTGTCTTAACTCCTTAATTCCCCTTAACATAAGACATGTGTAACCTAAAAACCTATTCACCAGTTCGTGTTTGCTAAGCCCAGCCATTCTCATTGGAAAATGTATTTGTCTTACTCTTATGATTATCTATGATACAACACTCTATTTCTGGATCTGTTTTCATTGTCTTCATGATTTGAAATCATGGTCTGGAAATAATTTTTTCATCTTCATATCAGTTTTTTTTGAGACAAGGTCTTGGCCTGTTGCCCAGGCTGGAGTGCAGTGGCACCATCTCGGCTCACTGCAGCGTCTTCCCCCCGCCGGGCTCAAGCGATTCTTCTGCCTCAGCCTCCCGAGATGCTGGGACTATAGGCGTGCACCACCACGCCGGGCTAATTTTTGTATTCTTAGTAGAGACGGGCTTTCACCATATTGGCCAGGCAGGTCTCAAATTCCCAACCTCAGGTGTTCCACCTTCCTAGGCCTCCCAAAGTGCTAGGATTGCAGGCGGGAGCCACTGCCCACCTTCCTATCAGTTTTGGTGTCATAAAAAGTGAGTGCCTCAGCTGGGGGCGCAGTGACTCACACCTGTAATCTCAGCACTTTGGGAGGCCGAGGTGGGTGGATCACGTGGGTGGTTCACGAGGTCAGGAGTTCGAGACTAGCCTGACCAACATGGTGAAACCCTGTCTCTACTAAAAATACACAAAAAATTTGCCAGGCGTGGTGGTGTGCGCCTGTAATCCCAGCTACTTAGGAGGCTGGGGCAGGAGAATTGCCTGAACCTGGGAGGTGGAGGTTGCAGTGAACCAAGATCGTGCCACTGCACTCCAGCCTGGGCGACAGGGACAGGAAGAAAAAAAGAATGCCTCTTATTAGAGGACTGATGTGTATAGTTGATATATCATTGGTGCTTTGAAATAATGTATTAGGTGAACTGACTTAGTTTAAGAATATTTAAATATATTCACTTGTGATAAAATTATCTCTTTTTATATGAGTCTGTGGTTTTATTACTGGATTTCTCTTAAGTAAACTTAAAAATTCCAAAGTTAAATATTTAGATATATGCCAATAAAATAACTTACTTCTTTCCTCTTTTACCTAATAGGTGGCCAGCATCGAAATGTTCAACCTTTTAGTGATGAAGATGCATCAATTGAAACAATGAGCCATTGCAGTGGTTATAGTGATCCTTCCAGTTTTGCTGAAGATGGTATGAGTTTTAAATTTAAATTTGCGACTTTAGATAAAATGTTTCAGGTGGAGGAATTCTTGTAGCTAAGGTATACTATTGTTCCCTGTCTTTTTTTCTTTTACATTATAATGGCTGGTTTATATTATTTCTTAGGACCAGAAGTCCTTGATGAGGAAGGAACTCAAGAAGACCTAGAGTACAAGTTGAAAGGATTAATTGACCTAACCCTGGATAAGAGGTAGGCAACACTGGAAACTCCATTCTGTGTGATTCTACGCTTGATCTTAGTCAAAAGCTAAGAGAAGTGATTATTCTGTGTGATTCTAATCAGCTACCTTACATATATATAATTTGTACAGCTCTCAGATAATAGCAATCTATTTTTCCAGAAGGTTAATTTGTTTACTTTGGATCATGTTTCTTGTTCCATTGGACTTTAATGTGTGTGGTAACATGCCATTAGAATTTAGATTGAGTCAGATTAGTAATTGTTCTAGCATAACAGCACATACATAACTGTATTTGATTATAATATAAATGAATTTGTTGAATTAAAAGTTAATCTTCAACTAGAAATGATAATGAAACCTTGCTTTAAGCTGCTTGTCTGCTAATGTTGTTATGATATGAAAAAAATGTCAAAGCTAGATTGTTTTTCTTCATTATAGCTTCAGAACTGACCTTAATAGAATTAAAAAGCCCTGAAGATGCAGTTCTAGACGTTTATAGTTTTTTAAAAAGTGTAAATTTACTTAAATATGTAATATAGGAAAACAATACATTGAAACTATACTGATACATTGAAACGATAAAATATTATGTAGGCATTTAAAGTTGTGGCTATCAAACTAAGAAAAATGCCATGATATAAAGCGGCCTTAAGTGTTTTGTGTAATAAGGTGAGTCATAGATGGAAATTAAATTATATTATTGACAAATGGTTAGAGCTTGATGAGAATTAGATTTAAAAAATCTATACATAGATAAAGTTTAGAAGGAAATAAGATTTTAAAAAGTTACTTATTGTATACTCCAACTGGATCTTCTTTCTCTTACATTGGGTGTTAAATAGTGCGAAGACAAGGCAAGCAGCTCTTGAAGGTATTAAAAATGCACTGGCTTCAAAAATGCTGTATGAATTTATTCTGGAAAGAAGAATGACTTTAACTGATAGCATTGAACGCTGCCTGAAAAAAGGTAATGCCCTTATTTTTGAGTCACAGACATAGAACTAATAAGGAGTGTGTTAGCTTCTTTTCGGTAACATTCAGTAATAGCACTGGAACACTGGTCCACTCTTAAAATTTTCTAATAGTCAAGGAGTACACCATCTTGTTATAGTTCAAAATGAGACTTGTTAGAACTTTTTGTTTTACGTAAAAAAAAAAAAAAAAGCTTGAAACTAAGAAGGATTGGCGTAGATTGTCATCATCCTTTTTTGTATCAGTAGAGGTGATAGTCATTCTCTTCTTTTACCAGAAAAGCTTGAAAGTGTATGTCAGACATCTAGCTCATTTTCCCTTGCACTTATATAAAACATTGATTATACCTGTAAATTACATCATTTTCAGGATATCCCTTGGAATACTTGAATTCTAGAACTTTGTAATAGAAATTCTGGAATTCAAATTGTTACAGCGATAGAACTTTTAAGACCAAAGAGAGATCTTAAAGATAATGTTGTCAGACCTTAAAGTCCAGTGTTACCAGACTTATCAGATTTAGGAACCACCAAATTTAAAAAGACTTGTGACCAGGCATGGTGGTTCACATCTGCAATTCTGGCACTTTGGGAGATGGAGGTGGGAGGGTCGCCGGAAGCCAGGAGTTGGAGACCACCTGGGCAACAAAGCAATACTTGGTTTCTATTATAACAAACAAAACAAAACAAGATTTGGTGTCTGCCAACTTAGCCAAGTAAGAACATTATGAAAATAATTATCTTCCACTATCATTGTTTTATTAGCAAAATATTCTAGCACCAAAAATGTAGAAATGCACTTTTAAAAAATTGAATTAACTAAGCTTTATATTCTTATTTTTCTCATTTTACCTGAGAGTAAAAAATTTTGTTGTAAGTGAAACCTTTGATCAAATTCACCTCTCCCATTGAATAGAATAAAGAAAGGCCTAGGAAAACTGAGATGGATCTAAGCTTATATATCTTGTTATTGGTATAGTTGATAGCAGACCCAACTTTTTAAAGATAACACAATGGCTCTATTAAAGGTGTTTTACATTCAAACTGTATGCTATAATGGTTGTTGGACTAGATGACCTTTAAAAATTCCATTTTAGCTTGCATATTTTTTACGTTTTTAATTTATCAGGTAATAGTTTAAGTTTAGTATTTGCCCCACACCTCACCTGTGGTATATACAGTTCTCAAGAGTTAATTTATATTTACCTTTATATAAATGTATTTTTTGCACCACTGCATTCCAGCTTGGGTGATAGTGAGACCCTGTCTCAAAAAAAAAAAAAGTTAATAAATGTATTTTTAATGGTCTTAAAGAATTATTTTTAATCCCATATTTATTTAAAAAAATGTTGGTGGAGAAACCCTGAAGGTTTACCTGATGGACTGTGTACATCTGAAATGCTTAGGAGATTAATTCAAGGGCAATTTGAGCACTGTTCATATGAGTACATTAAGGAGTTTGAAGACAGAAATTGGCTTGAAACACATTTAGTTGAACTGTTAAAATACTCCCTTAAGATAGATATTAATCTCCATTTTACAGATGAGGAACTCTAGAGAATAAGAGTAATTAATCGATGATCATTTGGCTACCTAGTAGAATCTAGGATTTGACTGAGGTCTGTCTGTCTTTATAGTTTGAGCTCTTTAGCCTAAGTGTGTAACTTGCATCAAAGCCTGGAGCATGGGGTTTCAAAAATGGTAAATGCTATTTTGTCATTGATCAAATTTGGGAAATTACTGTCTTAGTGAGTCTACTGAAAAGACTATTGTGATTGCATCTTGGCTGCTTTTATAGGTAAGAGTGATGAGCAACGCGCAGCTGCAGCATTAGCATCTGTTCTTTGTATTCAGCTGGGCCCTGGCATTGAAAGTGAAGAGATTTTGAAAACTCTTGGACCAATCCTAAAGAAAATCATTTGTGATGGGTCGGCTAGTATCCAGGCTAGGCAAACTGTAAGTATAAGATATTTACATTTATAGATCTGTCTATTCATGATACCCAGACATGGTGCGCCTGTAGTACCATACCAGCTACTCAGGAGGCTGAGGCAAGAGAGACGATCTTGTAAGTCCAGGAGTTTGAGGCAGCAGTGAGCTATGATCATGCCACTGAACTGTAGCCTAGGAGACAAAGCCAGACACTGTATCTTAAAAAAAAATAATAATTAATTCTATATTTATGGATTTGGGTAGACATAGGAAACTCTGAAATTCTGACTTGTGAAATAGTCTTCCAATTTTGGGGTTTGAGAAAGCTTTCATTCTCTAATTGTTGGATGTTTACCTCTTGTAACACTTGACTTTAGATTTTGGGTTTTGGGGGTTTTATGTTTTGTTTTTGGTGTGGCAGTAAGTGATACAAATGATCATATGGACATGTTTTACTTTGTCCACATGACCACATCTGATGTGGTCTTAGTGGATTTGGAAAAATAACATGTGATCCTAAACTTTTTTTAAACAAGTGAATCAGTTTAAGCGTGAAACATTGTAATACTTTTAATATTGATTATCCGAATCAGTTTCCTTATTAGTATTACTTAAGTGACATTAATCTTTGTCTAAGTAGCTTGGTAAAAATGTATTTCTTCTTCTTATCATCACCACCCAATGCAAATTGGCTGGAACCCCAGGCCTCCATTGCAGCTTCACCCACCTCTAGGTTCTCTCCATATGGCAGCCAGGGTAGCTAGGTGACAGACTCAGACAAAGCATGTCAGTTTTGCATCTAGTTCCTTGGCTTACCAGGCATATGGAAGCTGGGAATAGTCTAGTTGTTTGCCCTGGAGGCAAAGAAATTGGAGTTTGGCAACTTCATAGTAATCTCCGTTTCCTCCAGTAGTTAGTAATACTGAAATATTTAATTAGCTTTTGCTACTTAACTTTTTCTTTTCTCCTTTTTGGGGGAATATATGCAACTTTTAAATCATGTGGAACTATGGGTATAATTTCGTACTAGAATGACAGAAGACACTCTGCTGGGTAGATTTTTGGAGCAGTCACTTAATTTTGATTGTATGTGAGTTTTTTGTTCATTTAAAGGCATTTTCTTTTTCATACTTCCGAGTTGCTGTGAATTTTTAAAAAACCTTAGTCTCCCTGTTTAGCAGATGGAATCCATATTAAATTGAGGCAGTCCTAGGGTTTTTTTTTTTTTTTTGACAGAGTCTCACTCTCCTACCCAGGTTGGAGTGCAGTAGCACAATCATGGCTCACTGCAGCCTCCACCTGCTGGGCTCAGGTTATCCTCCTGCCTCAGCCTCCTGAGCAGCTGGGACTATAGGCGTGTGCCACCTTGTCTGGCTCACTTTTAATTTTTTGTAGAGATGGGTCTTGCTGTATTGCCCAGGTTGGCCTTGAGCTCCTGGGCTCGAGTGATCCTCCTGCCTTGGTCTCTCAAAAGTGTTGAGATTATAGGTGTGAGCCACCGCACCCAGCCAGTTCTAGTTTTTAATTGGCTGTTTTTCTTAGAGTCATCAAAAGGAACCATGTAGCCTTGCTTCTGCTGCTTACTTAGCAGAAGGGATTATGGATTGAAAATTTCCTTTAATGCTTCGGCTACTTTTAAATTTTAACAGTGTTCAGTTTTCACCAGGATGATATAATGAAAATAAAATAGTGACACCAAGCAGATTAATATCACAGATATCCTCATAGTACCGGAACAGAACTGACTAAAACCTGGGCCTGATGCCAGTAGTGACTTTAAAGACTTAAAGCTTTAATAATACTTAGAACAATATGAGGGAATTTTAGTAACAAAATGTAGAATAATAAAATCTCAGATAACAAATTCTGTTTTTATACGGATTAATTTGTTAAAACAAATTTTCTGAGAATTGAAGGCTTCTGTTTATGTTGCAGGTAGATGGCTTGTGTAAGTGTTGTGTTCTAAGTGTTTTATTCGATAAGCTTTACCTTTCTAATCATATAGTGTACTCACTTTTGTTTAGCCCTTCCCCTCTGCAAACAAAAGGCAATTATGTGATTCCCAGCCTCTTTTCAGCATAATCCAGAATAAGTGAAATTTGAATTAATGGGATTAATTAATTAGGTGGGAAGTTTGAAGACAGTTATTTACGTTTTATGAAATTTCTGCTCCTGTGTGCTTATTTCTTGGAAGCTGATTTCTTTTAGAAGTTTTCATAGTAGAGTCTTCATAAGAACAAAAGAATATAGATAGTTTTAACAGCTAAAAAACCGGTGGAATTGTAATGTGTTTTAAAGGCTTTTTAATAGAGAGGGCAGGCTTCTTTATCTCATATGTCTAAGCTTTCTATCTTTGAATTACAGTTGAAGTTTGAAATGATCCAGTAAGCACCTGTAAAGCATACAGAAAGGAAACGAGGGGATAGTTCACCCTTTCAGAATGCTTTACTGACATAGACTCATAAAAATAATTCGATAATTTAAATCATAGATTATGGAGCTGCAATTGTTTTAGAAATTATGTAATTCTTCTGCATGCTTTTGATTTTATGGATCAATAAAAGAAGACCGAAGAAGAACAGAATCACTTTGTTAAAGTCATGCTGTGAGTTTGGTAGCAGAGCTTGAACTAAAATGCACTTCCTTTGATCTTAGTTCAGTATTCTTTCTCTCCTCACCTCTTTTATATACAGTGCTTGGGACCTAATATATCATGTTGCTGAGAACATTTTCACATTGAATTATAAAAGCAGGAAGATGTAGAATTAATAAGAAATAAAATCATTAATGTCTATATATATATATTTTTTTTTAGTGTGCAACTTGCTTTGGTGTTTGCTGTTTTATTGCCACAGATGACATTACTGTAAGTAAAAAACCTTTGATTCTATTATCTGTGATTATTTCTAATTTATCTGTGGTTATTTCTAATTTAAGGTGGTTATCTTACTTCATATTATTATGCATTAGGAACTATACTCAACTCTGGAATGTTTTGAAAATATCTTCACTAAGTCCTATCTCAAAGAGAAAGACACTACTGTTATTTGCAGCACCCCTAATACAGTGCTTCATATCAGCTCGCTTCTTGCATGGACACTACTGCTGACCATATGCCCAATCAATGAAGTGAAGAAAAAGCTTGAGATGTATGTATTTTTAGTTTCATGTTTTATAAAAGCAACATTTAGTGGACATAATTGGTTGTATTCACATAGTAATGACTAACTGTTTTTTAGGCATTTCCATAAACTTCCAAGCCTCCTCTCTTGTGATGATGTAAACATGAGAATAGCTGCTGGTGAATCTTTGGCACTTCTGTTTGAATTGGCCAGAGGAATAGAGAGTGTAAGTATCTAACTGGCAGAGGAGAAAGCTTGTGTCACAAGGCCCATTGTTCCATCATTACCTTGCAGTTGAGAATTGGACAATAACTTTGGAACATGGCCAGCTTGAGAACTCAGTGATTTATTTCCCTGCTTCTTGGCAGTGGTGGTATAATACTTTAGAGAGCGGAAACCAGTAGGGGTTGGTAGAGCAATGTTTGACTGTGGTTTGTTATACTTAATTTTTGCTGTCTGTAGAACTGCAGTTTAGGGATGCTCATGGAGAGAGTTTTTTCTAGTGTAAACTGTATGAAACTGCTTGGATTTCTCAGATACCCGATATATCAAGCTAATGAAGGCACGTGATACTTCATAATTAATATCAAACAAATGAATAAAATATTAAGTCATCATAGGTTTGGGATGAGATGGGTTCAGTAACTTCTCTAAGCCAAAGATGGAAATAAACACTGCTCATTAGACGGGACATGTGCTTTGCAGTTACCCATTCACTTGTTCACTCACGGATGTTAGTTACCATGGGTTGGCTCTCGATGGGATTTGAGTTTGTGATAGTTTGATCAGCCGACCCAGTTTGCTTTGTACTTGTTTTTGGTTTAGTGCTTACCATCTTATGTTCCAGGAAATCCTTTAATTTGGGCAAACTGGGTCATTTGGTAGCCCTAGTTTGTCATCTCTATTTTAAGGATTGCTAAGATAAAGGAATGCCTCAAATCTTACCATTGGAAGGGAGAATTTATTCTTTTTTCTTTTTTCTTTTTTTTTTTTGAGACGGAGTCTCGCTCTGTCACCCAGGCTGGAGTGCAGTGGCCGGATCTCAGCTCACTGCAAGCTCCGCCTCCCGGGTTCACGCCATTCTCTGGCCTCAGCCTCCCGAGTAGCTGGGACTACAGGCTCCCGCCACCTCGCCCGGCTAGTTTTTTGTATTTCTTAATAGAGACGGGGTTTCACCGTGTTAGCCAGGATGGTCTCGATCTCCTGACCTCGTGATCCGCCCGTCTCGGCCTCCCAAAGTACTGGGATTACAGGCTTGAGCCACCGCGCCCGGCCAATTTATTCTTAAGATATGTGATTCAGATACTGTGGTGATATTTAGAAATGAGGAGCAGGTTTGACTGCCTTCACACTGAATCTGTGAAGGATCCAATAAGAAAACTAAACATATGGGAAATGGGTAACTAAATAGTAGATATTATTGCCAACCTTGAATTACTTACTAGCTGCTTTTTAATTTAAGGAGAAAGAGTATATTTTCAGAATGAAACTTTTCTGCATTTAAAGAAGTTATTTAACAGTGAACAGTCCCAAACAGGATTAATACAGTTCTGCCGTGTATAGTCATTCACATTCCATTCTAGGCCTGTATGAAGAACGTTTACAGTCTTAAAATTTTTGTGTGTGAAGTGACTTTCTCCTCCCCTACACTCCTTTTGTTTGAGGGATTACAGTAGGTAGGAATGGAAAGTAAGTTAATGTTGTCAGTAGCTAATAATTCTCCTTATGTGAGAAATTGGACTCAAATTTAGCAATTAATTTAATTTTACTGAGCTAGTTAATACCTTCTTAACCTCAAGGCATGGAAACCAGATGTCCCAATTTTTACACTTACGTTCCTCTACTGGCCAGAAATGGCAGTTTCTTTTCGTTTTTTTCCTTGGAAATGCATTTTTAAAATGAAGTCATAATGCAGTTTTAATTATACGTGTTGAATTTAAGTTTGTATAAACATTGTATGTATAGACACATACATATATATATACACACACACATATTTTTTCTCTAACTTAATAAATTACACAAGATAACCAGGAGAACTCATCCAGACATACTTCATTTGACTTGAATTTTTGTCCAAGGGCAAAAATGAACTGGGTTACAAAATAGAACCTAGTGTTTTTATTTGCCTTTTTTTTTTTTTTTTTTTAAATAAGCTTTTTATATGTGGGTGCTGGTTGGGGGATAGTTATAGGGTGTTCAAAAATGAAATCTAGGGTGTTAGTGAAAAACATGGACAGATTTGAAATAGGGTTCATACAGCAAATGAGTTTTGAATTATTCAAGTCCTTTTGCTGACTTACTTTCTGATGTTATTAACTTTGAAATCTAGTGATGTGATGAATTCTGCCTGAGAGACTTAGAAAAAAACTTTCGAAGAGCTAACTTTTAGGTTGGATTTTAATGAATGAGTTAGTTAAATAAAAATAATAAACTGTTCAAAGTTGAAATTAGTAATTATTACTCCTTTGTGAGAGTTCTAGGTTAATGGATGTTTGCCATATAACCAATTAGATAATAGTAGACTCTGGAGCTGTTCTGCCTACCTTCAGATCTCTTTCTCTCTTACTAGTTGGGTAATATTGGGCAACTTCTCTATGCCTCAGTGTCCTTATCATTAAATGGAGAAATTATTAGTCACAACCACATAGAGTTGTTGAGAACACATGATAGGTACAGTGTAAGTGGTAGCTGTTACTTGGAATGTTGGTTGAATTGAGTATTGCGTTTGGCAGTAGTTTGCTAGTGGCCTTTTAGGAACTCTAGAGTAACTTAATATAAGAGAGACATTATTTGGTGGGCAGAATTAAGATCTTGGGAGCCATTGCTGGTGCAATCCCAACTTGGGAAAATTTAACAAAATCTAGTTAGACCTTTTCCAAGTCTCACCCATTCCATTCCCCAGCTGAGCGGACAGGGGAAGTGCTATATCATAGAGAGAAAAAAAGATAGTAAAAGACCAAATATACTCCTGGGAAGTAAAATCTGAAATCACCTAGATTTTATACTTTGGAAGCAGCAACTTAGCATTCTTCTTGTTTTTTTTCCCTTGTTTGTATAATAACTGACCCTGTGTAAAAATATCTCCATACCTTGACAAAGATATTCTGCCTTGGTGAGTAGGAATTGAAATAAATAAGTCTTTTTAAAGACAGGGTCTCTCTGTGTTGTCCAGGCCGGAGTGCAGTGGCAGGATCATACCTCACTGCAGCCTCAGACTTCTGGCCTCAAGCAATCCTCCCTCCTCCTTCCAAAGTGTTCGGATTATAGATATAGAGCCACGGTCTGGCCTCAAGTTTTATTTTAATATTAGGCTTTTGTATGATTTTTATTTCTTAATACTTAGCTATCCAAGACCCAGCTTATTTTGTTTATAATGAGTGTTCCAGTGACTTCTGTATAGAAATAATAGTTTGGGGAATGGTTAGTTTTTGTGACCTTAAGCATCTCACCCTGTCTGCCTAAACTTTTCCAGAAATTTTCTTTGGTTTCATTTCATCCTAATTCCATTCAGCTTTTGAAACCATTTAATTGGTAACTTATTTTGCTTTGAAATAATTATCTTCAGCTGACCAGTTTGTTGTATTTATATTGTGTTAGATTCAAACAGGCTATTTATAACAGTAAGATCTATAACGTAATGGATGTTTATCTCCTGTGTTTTCTAATAGTTCCTTATGATAAACCTATGAGATGTGGGTGGTGATAACTGTTACATAAGAGGAGCCTGAGACAGATTGCTAATGTAGTTCTGTCAGGTTGTGTAGATCTACGCGGCGGATGCTTGTGATTCAAACCTAGATGTTCGGACTGCAAAACCTGTGTCTTACGTATAATATTAAACTGCCTCATATAGTTGTGATTGCTACACAAATTTTTAAAAAAATGTGAGTTCTATGTGCCTCCAAATCTAGAATATTGATGTAATAGTTAATGCTTCAGAATTTATTGGGGAATTTATTTTTATGTCTTTTTAATGCTTACAACCATTGTTGGAGAGGGTGGATATTATCTTTTTTTCAGATGATAAGATAGATTTATAATTTATAAAACTTGGTGTGGAGAGTAGTAGATTTGAGATTCTAATCTAGGATTTTTGACCCTGTTGTGTAGTAATGACTGCTATTTTCTTTTTATTATTGATAAGAGTATATTAAGATAATTTATTTATTTCTCTGGGAGCTCATTTTTTATTTGCCCCAGAGTGGTACAGCTCTATTATATAATTATCCTAAACTCCAATTAATAGGCCTTTGAAAGCTGTTTATGGCCTGTTCTTAGTTACATGTTACATTTTATTTCCTTCCTTCCTTTTTTTTTCTTTTTAATGCCCAAGTACTCTCTAGAGCCTTTTTTCTAAAATACTTAGCATTTAATTTTTCAAGTTTTAATAGGATGTTGAACTTGGTGATTCACAAACTAAACTTGATTGGGTTTTATCCATTGCTAAGATTATATTACGGTGGAGTTTTTCAGCCGCAGCATGCACTATTGATATTTTGGGCTGGATTATATTTTGTTGTTGTAGGGTTGGGGGCTGTCTTGTGCATTGAAAGATATTTTGCAGCATCCTTGGCCTCTCCCCACTAGGTGCCGATAGCACCCCCCTCTCCTAGTTGTGACAACCAAAAATGTCTCAGACGTAGTCAAATGTCCAGTGGGAAGTAAGAACATCCCCAGTTGATAATCACTGGCAGTGATTCTCACTTCTTAGAACAAATTAAAATAATGTATAGAATTTTCTTAAATTTTGATTTATTCTATACAAATTAAAAAACCCTTTACATATACAGCTATACACACATATATATATTTAGAATACTGTAAAAGAACAAGTAGCCAATAAAATGAGTAGGAGACTGCTAGTCCCTGAAATGTACTTGTTTTTTATAAATAAAATTATTCCCATCTTTTTATGATGCAAGTTGATTCTTTGGAATTTAAACACAGTTTGGTCTATTTTAATACCTACTTTGCATCTTATTAGTGAGTATTGTCTCTAACTTAGATACAGGAGGTAGATTGGAACATTAGAGGAAAACATTTGTTGGAATAGTTAAGAATATGTAATTGGAAATACGACAAGAAGATATTTATGTACTTAAAAGCTAGAATATCTGTCACATTAATTTCGAGCTTATTTTTCACCAGTGTAATAATCCTTTTCATTTTAGACATTAAAAGAAACCAAGAAGGTCCAGAAGAGCTGTTATTTTAATTGAATAAGTTAAATGATTCTTAACCTCTAATGCAATAAATGTTAAACATGTATGAATAAACTAGAACTGGAGATTGCCCATCTCCTGGGTTCTTAGTAAGAAGTATCTGTTCTAGTTTTGATCAGCTAAATAAGTTTGACTCATTTTTTAGATTTTAGTGTGGTTGTAAAATGGAGTTAGGGAATAAAAACACCACAAATAAAAGAGACTTCTTAAATGCATAGCCACGTTAACTATGACAAGGAAGCCCGTAATCTGCTTAAGGTCACAGCAAATTTCAATACATTTTGCAGCTGTGCCCCAGAAAGGGATTAAAACTTGTTCTTGCCTTAAATAATTTAATCACCTGAATTATGTGCTTTATTGCTTATTTGAAGTATGGCAGTAAATTAGAAAGTAGGTGCTTTAAAAGCACTACTAGTAGCTTTATGCCTTTGGGATAAGAATAATTGGAATTCTGTGAATGTTTGGTTTGGAGATTGGGAAGCCAAGGGTGGAAGCTATATTGGTATATCTGTCTCTCACTGAATTTCGAAATCCCAGTAATGTCTCATATATGGTTGGAACACAAGAAGTATTTGTTGGATGCATGAACTTGGAAGGGAAATGTTAATTGTTTTGCTGCAGTACATCATCTCGTAGTCAGCATTTCTGGGTTCGATTATTTCATGAAAATATGTGTTTATGTGTGCCTAGTCCCTAAACACCATGAAGATTTACATTGCCCTATGCAACTGGGTATTTTCCAAAGGTAGACTGTTCTTTGTTAGCTCTATATGAGGTCAGAAAAGAAAAACAATAAAGGAAACAAAATTGCTTTTCTTGACCAGGACTTTTTTTATGAAGACATGGAGTCCTTGACGCAAGTGCTTAGGGCCTTGGCAACAGATGGAAATAAACATCGGGCCAAAGTGGACAAGAGAAAACAGCGGTCAGTTTTCAGAGATGTCCTGAGGGCAGTGGAGGTAGGCTTCTTAAATGCTGTAATAGCTTCTCGTTTTGAATTGGATTGTGTCAGGCTACTAAACTTGACAATTGGGCCATTTTGTTGATTGAATTTCACCTTTGAAAATAATAACTCATTTTACAGCCTAGCAGGTGTTTAACAATATAAGTGAAGACTTTTGTTTTTTTCAAAGGAAAATTAATGCTGATGTATAAAGATACTTTATTTTAGTTTTTTTTTCTTTTAAATCAAAAGACTCATAGTGATAGAAATGTATTTGACCTTGGTGTATTTGTCATTTAAACAGTGGTGCTTAGCATATACATTCTTAGTGTACAGTGTTTTTTGTGAATTTAGTAAGTTATTGCCTACCCCTTAGACTCCAACCCAGCTTCATTGTCTTTTACTTGTTTATTTATTTATTTATTTGAGATGGAGTCTTGCTCTGTTGCCCAGGCTAGAGTGCAGTGGCACGATCTCGGCTCACTGCAACCTCCACCTCCCGGGTTCAAGTAATTCTTTGCCTCAGCCTTCTGAGTAGCTGGGATTACAGGTGCCCACCACCACACCCGACTAATTTTTTGTATTTTTAGTAGACACGGGGTTTCACCATTTTGGCCAGGCTGGTCTTGAACTCCTGACCTCGTGATCCACCCGCTTCAGCCTTCCTAAGTGCTGGGATTACAGGTGTGAGCCACCGTGCCAGAGCTCTTCATGATCTTTCTAGGAAAGCTGGAGGCTAAAAACTGAAATAACAAAACCCAGCATTTTAACAAGGCCACTTAAAATCATTATCTGATGCTTGAATTTCTTCTATAATTCTCAAACCTGTTTCAATCTATGTGGCAAATAAATTGGTTTAGAATGCATGGCTAAAATGAACTATAGGACAAAAGATAGTTTCACTGGAGAAAACTGAAAACTTTAATAATTGTTTTTGGTAACCCAGGTAAATATTTTTTGGATTTAAAGGGTGTGTTTCTTAAGATTATTGCTATCTGATAATAGCAGTTATTTTAAGAATATCTTCAAAATGTCATTCAACTTGATGTGTGTATGAAAATTTAAAATGAGAATTTAAACTGGAGATAGTGAGACCCCACACCAGATCCAGTTTTAATATGTTCCAGGGAATTCTTATATGTATCCTACTTTCTTAATTTTAATCTATTTTTAAAAAAGTAAAATCTAGGATACAAATTAGATCCTTTGGCATTTAAATACTTTGGTTAATGCTGACTTATCACATTATAGTAGTATTTTGTATTTACTCTGGATATTATAGTCTAAAAAACAACCTAACTAGAGCAAGTATCCATATTAAGAATTAAAATTAGTCTTATAATTAGTGTGGCAGTATCTCTAAAGTAAGCCATTTTCTTTAAGTAACTATAAACTATTCCTGTATTTAGATTTGTTTTTGAGATACTATAGTCTTCAAAAATATGATGACATGTCCTAGATTTTCTGGATGGACCTGATTTCAAGTTTTCTGCCCTGATGCGTCACCTTTGAGTAGTAGATTGTAAGGGTCTCTACTGGCCGTCAGACTGGGCCAGCCATAGCACTCAGTACTGATTATTCAGAGGAAGACACAAGTGACATTTCAGCCTACACCAGTATTAACAGCCCGTTGTTGCGTATTCCTCAGACACTATTAAATGGAATCCATTCCTATGCCATAGTGATCTACCTGCCCACCTTCTTTTCTTCATCTCAGGATCTCCCTTGTCCCTCCAGCCTCTGCTTCAATGCACCTGCCTGAGAAAGTCCTGTCCTCAGGACCTTGCTAAGGGTTGTTTCTCTTTTTCTTTTCACTGGAACCTAACTTTTTCTGGAGTACCCAGCTTCTCAGATGGGTCTTTTGAATGAAGGTTGCTCAACTGCCACAAAGGAGATGTAAACATCTTAGGTGTCGTAGTGGCTGCCACACCATTTCTTTTCATTTAAAACCTTTCTTGAGGCTCATGCATTCCTCAAATCAGTGAGCACTTAATATTTTAGGTGTTTTGCCATAGTTTTCTTACTTCATTTCATTATACCTCTTAAGCAATAGAATCGTCTCCTTTTAAAGGAGAAATGGGGACCAAAGGAATAGAGAATAGTTAAGTAGCAGAGCTGAAATTTGAACCCACTGTTCTGTGCTCTTTGAGCATGGCCCAATCCTGTATACAGATAGGTCAAGTGAGAGAGTAACCAGTTTCACTTAGGTCTGTCGATTAGGTCCTTGGTGACCTTTATAAGAGCAGCTTCAGTGGACTGATGAGGGAAAAGCCAGATTGAAGTGGATTGAAAAGTGAGGAGTGATTAAGTGAAGATGGTATGCCTTGACTATTTTAAAAACCTTGGCTGTAATGGGAAGGGGAAGAGAGTTGATAGTTGGAATGTAGTGGCGGATTGTGGGAAGGTTTGTTGTTTTGTTTTGTTCTAGACAATAGAGACAATTTATGGAGAAGGAACCAGTGGAGAAAGGAGCATCTGAAAATGTAGTCTGTTTCTTAGTATCCATGAGGCATTGGTGCCAGGATCCCCCTCAGATACCAAAATTTGAGTATTCAAGTCCCTGATATAAAATGGCATAGTATTTGCATATAACCTATGCACGTATACTTTAAATCATCTGTAGATTACTTATACTTAATACAATGTAGGTGCTATGTAAATAGTTGTTATACTTTATTGTTTAGGGAATAGTGAAAAGAAAGAATAGTCTGTACGTGTTCAGTGTAGTTGCAATTTTTTTCTGAATATTTTCAATCCATGGTTGGCTGAATCCATGATGCAGAACCAACCAGATATGGAAGATTGACTATATATGTAAAAGATTGGGATTAACCTTGAATTGTGGAGGGACAGAAGTCTATCTGTTACCACCGGGAGAGACGATAATAGGTAAGGATGCTGATGACTTTATAGAGGGTTGGTGGGAAATAGTTCTTTCCTGGTGCCTTAATGTTTTCTGAAATAAACAAGGTTAAAATAAGATAACTCTGCTGTTATTTATTTTTGAGCTGCTGTTACGCACCAGATGGTCACTGTGTTTGCCTCACATGCGTGTCCTCTTTTACACCTGTAATAACCCTCATGCAGTGTAGGTAAAGATGGCCCCATTTTACGGGCAAAGGAACAGACTCAACAAGGTTAAGTTACTTGATGAAATCACAAGCCCGCAAATTTGCCTGTCTGTGTTGTCTAGAGTTGACGGTCTTTTCTATTACATTATATACTTTGTCTGCTGAGTGAGAAGGGGCTGAGGTAGATGTCTGGAAGGCAGGTGGAGTGGTTTTGTCCTTCAAGTTCCGTCTCCTTTCTCCTCTCCCTGTGGCAGTCAGCTTCTTCCTTCTTGGTTGCTCTGACATATTCATGATTTACCGAAGAATTAAGTAACCAGTTTTCTTCTTAACAAGTTCTACCACTATTCCAGCTGACTTTTCTTTATCCATCTAACTTTTATTTCCGTGTCATTTGGGCTGCACTCCCGTGGTTATACCTTTGAAATGGTCTTCTGACAGAATTGTTCCATTACTAAATCTTAGATTCTAGTGTTACCTCTTATTTTCTTATAAACCTAGCCTGAAACCTCTTGGAGCCCTCTGGTTGCTGGACCTTTCCTTTTTGCTTGGTCAGTTAACCCTATTTACCCTCACTTTCTTCCCTGGATCCCTGCTGCTCATTTCACCACCCCCTGTTTGTGGTGCCATTGTGTTTTCCTGACTGTTTGCAACTTTCTTCCCTCTCCCATCCTAGGCCATTAAAAACACCTGACCTTTTCTTAAGTTTGTTGAGACATGTTGAAATTTAAAGATGTTCTCAACAATGTGGTTTTGTGCCTTAATAGTTATTGAAACTCAGTTGAGCCTTCAAGCTTATCAAAACTAGACCAATTCTGTACCCTTACATACAGGATAGCAATAGTTTGTCTACATCTCAGGTATGACAGTATCAGTTTAAGCCATATTGTTAATTTATCTCAGCATGTATATGACTGTTTAGAAATTGTGTTTACATAAGATCCCTTTGGGCCATTTTAGTGCCTGTGGTAATTTTGGTTCTTCCATTGGTTAGGAACGGGATTTTCCAACAGAAACCATTAAATTTGGTCCTGAACGCATGTATATTGATTGCTGGGTAAAAAAACACACCTATGACACCTTTAAGGAGGTTCTTGGATCAGGGATGCAGTACCACTTACAGGTAAGTATCATCCTTTCTACGTATTTGCTTTTAAAGTAGGGAGCAGTCTTGAATGTAGCTTTTAAAGTAGGGAGCAGTCTTGAATGTAGCTTTTAAAGTAGGGAGCAGTCTTGAATGTAGCTCACTTAATGGGCTTTTGAAATGAATTAGGTATCCAGAGTGCTTCCACGTGTTAGAAAACAGTAAACTTATTTTTGAAAGTAGACTTGAATAAATCTGAAGCTGTTCCTTTTTTTTTCCTCTTTGTATTGTTGAAGTTGGGTGGACTGTTACCGATGTCAGTATGAAAGCAAATAGCTTGACATAGCTTTCTCAGATTCAAGGCATTGAAAACAATTTGCTCTCATATTGAGAAACAGAAAATAAGTGATCTAAGTTTATATCTGTAGGTTCCACATAACTTCTGTTAATCAGTCACTCTATCTGGTGAAAAAGAGCTATAATGTTTAATACTGAGCTGTACTACCTTTTTCTTTCACATAAGTCAAATGAATTCCTTCGAAATGTATTTGAACTTGGACCCCCAGTGATGCTTGATGCTGCAACACTTAAAACGATGAAAATTTCTCGTTTTGAAAGGGTAGGTTTTGTTTTTATTTTTAATAAAACTAAATGCGCCAAAACTTTGATTCTGTCTGGTTTCACCAAGTTAGCTGTGTCTACCTATACTTGGGAGTTTCAGTTTTTCATGATGTTTCATATAGAACAGCTGTACTAAAGATATAGAAAGCATGTAGAGTGGGGGGGCATATATATATACACACACACACACGCGTATATATATATATACACACACATAATACACTTGGATATGTACACACACACATATATATATGTCAGCCTGGGTGACAGGAGTGAGACCTTGTCTCAAAAGGAAAATGGAGAAAATAATATTGCAGCTTATTTGCCCATGAGGTATATTTCTTTCATTTTATGAAACATATTTTGACAACACATTAAAATGTAATATGTACGTATATATTTTACATATAATCCTATCTTAATATAGGAATGATGTTCATATTTTGTTTCTTTTTATTCTATGGAGTTTTTATGTTTAAGAATAAGGATTTACATAGTCCTTTTGTATCAGATAATAGCCTACTAAGTGAAGTACCAGACTCATTTTACAAATGAGGAAACTTAAGAGGGTTTGTAGCATTACATAGTAATTAGTATGTTGTTTTTTTGTTTTGTTTTGTTTTGTTTTTTTGAGACAGAATCTTGCTTTGTCGTAATCTCAGCTCACTGCAACCTCTGCCTCCTATGTTCAAGCGATTCTCCTGCTTCAGCCTCCTGAATAGCTGGGATTACAGGTGTGCACTACCACACCCAGCTAATTTTTGTATTTTTAGTAGAGATGGGATTTTGCCATGTTGGCCAGGCTAGTCTCGAACTCCTGACCTCAGGTGATCCACCCACCTTGGCCTCCCAAAGTGCTGGGATTACAGGCATGAGCCACCATGACGAGCCTACATTTCAGAAATCCTTAATTTATGTATATTATTTTGTGTTGAGATGAAATTCACGTAACAGACTATTTTAAAGTATACAGTTCAGTGGTACTTACTACATTCATGATGTTGTGCAACTCTAGTTCCAAAACATTATCAAAGAAACTTCTATCTTTGTCGCCCATGGAACATATTGCTTCTGTTTTTTTTTTTTGGATTTCATTTGTTGTATAGTGCAACTTTTGTTTGCTTTTTCATTTTCATTGTTGGAATATGTTGTAGCATGAATCAGTTTTCTTTTTGTAACATTTACTATAAATTTTTTTTTTGTAATTTGGCTTTCTTTTGATTTTTGCTTTGATATTTTTATTCATCAAATTTTTTTTGAAAGGCTCTTTGCAATTTTGGGAGGTATTACCTAGGAGTAGAATTGTGCTGGGTCAGATGATAGTTTTACATTTAACTTTCTCAGAAACCACCAAACTCTTTTCCATAGCTGCTGCACCAGTTTACATTCCCATCAGCAGTGTAGAAAGGTTCCAGTTTCTCCATATCCTCACTAATAATTATTTTAATTATAGCCATTCTGGTGGGTATGAAGTGTTTAATTACATTTTATAGAACATAGTTGTTTCTTGTATGGCATTTTAAGTTTTGTAAGAAACATTAATATTTTTACATACTTTTCTCTTTCGAATAATTTTTTTTGAAGAAATCCCCTGCATAATGTATTGCCAGATTACCTTCCAAAGTTACTCTAATATTGGAGACAATATTTAAATTGTCTCTAGCAATGAATGAAGGCATGTAGTTGTTACACAGAGATTTGACACCTTCAAGTTTTATAATTTAAAAAATTTAATTGGTATTAAAATGGCACCTCATCACTTTTTTCCTTGTTGTTTTAATTGACAGCCAAGTAGGACTGTTTTCCACATTAGTCACGATTTGTCTTGGATCATGGATGAAACTAAATGTTGATGTCCTTTTTTCACTGTTGTTTTTTGAAATTGTCTTACTTTCTTGGTGTTTTGCAAGTTGATTAGTGCTTTTCTGAATATGGAATAGCCATTAACTCTTTTTTTTTTTTTTTTGAGACGGACTCTAGTTCTGTCGCCCAGGCTGGAGTGCAGTGGTGTGATCTCGGCTCACTGCCACCTTTGCCTCCCGGGTTCAAACGATTCTCCTGCCTCAGTTTCCCGAGTAGCTGGGACTACAGGCATGTGCCACCACGCCCGGCTAATTTGTTGTATTTTTAGTAGAAATGGGGATTCACCATGTTAGCCAGGATGGTCTTGATCTCCTGACCTCGTGATCCACCCACCTTGGCCTCCCAGAGTGGTGGGATTACAGATGTGAGCCACCTCACCTGGCCCCCATTAACTCTTTGTTTTTCTCCTTCATTCTTTGTGTGTATTTTATAAACATTTAAAGGTTTATAGGTTCAAATTAGTTCATTTCTTTGTGACTTTTACCCTTTTTCAGTTTTTTAAGAGTATCTTAAGTCTTACTGATGCATGTTTTTCCTTTTCTTCATTTCAGCATTTATATAACTCTGCAGCCTTCAAAGCTCGAACCAAAGCTAGAAGCAAATGTCGAGATAAGAGAGCAGATGTTGGAGAATTCTTCTAGATTTTCAGAACTTGAAGACTATTTTCTAATTTCTATTTTTTTTCTATTTCAATGTATTTAAACTCTAGAGACGGTTTTTATCTTGGATTAACTTAGATAACTTTTATAGTAGGAGTTATATTGCTTATAATTTAATGTACAGTATTGAAACTGGTGAGTTCTGATTATTAAATATTCTCTGTAAATCAGTAAACATGTATAAAGTGTTTGTAATGTCATAATTGGTCATAATTTATTTACGAAGACAGCAAAAAACTTTGATTTCATGATGGGGAAAACTATTAGCCAAAGTTTAATTTCTTACACTGTGGTTGTCAAAAATACTGATTTGCTATAATGATATATACATACAAGATATTTAACTTAATATCTTAGACAAGAGTTCTGGATACAATTTTGGGATCTAGTTCCCTGGAAAAGCTGCTGTATTTTTAATTTTTAATGGAATGTAGCTTTTAAAATCCTGTCACTGGCATCAACAAAAGGAATTATGCCATGAGACCTTACAGTTGTACTTAAAAGCCATTCAGTTCAGCTATTGGGAGTTCACGATGAATTAGCATATGCCAGAAAGGTTGCTAACCTTAACATCTGAGAGCAGTAACACTGATTTTATCTGCTGTATGAGACTTTGTGCATTTCACTTTGAAATAAAGATTTTTTTCACACGCCGGATAAGGTGGCTGTCGTCCTCTTATCTAAATAGTAAGAAATAACGATGCAAGTAAACATTATTTATGGCTTTGAGGTACAGAGTCCAAAATGACTAGGCCAGGTGGGCAGGGAGACAAAACTTTATGTATATATTTGCAAACATTAAAGTAGATGAAAAGAATGTAACAATACATAATTGGGATTAAGGTTTCTGACTTTCGAGAATATTGCTGCTTGGCAACATGCAGTGGCTCATGCCTGTCATCAGCACTCGGAGGCTGAGGTGGGAGGATGGCATGAGCCCAGTTTGAGACCAGCCTGGGCAACAGCGAGACCCTGTCTCTACCAGAAATTTAAAAAAAATGAGTGTGGTGGTGTGTGCCTGTACTCTTTATCTACTTGGGTGCTGAGGCAAGAGGGTAACTTGAGCCCAGGAGGTCAAAGCTGCAGTGAGCCGCGATTATGCCACTGCGCTCCAGCCCAGGTGACAAGAGTGAGGCCTTGTCTCAAAAGCACAACAGTAAAAAGAATATTGCTGCTTGTTTGCCCATGAGGTATATTTCTTTCATTTTGTGAAAAGCGTTTTGACAGCACATTCACATTTAATAAACTTTAGATTAAAATACATAGTGCAAGCAACGTGCCATTTCAAATCCATAGACTTGTTTCTTTGATATTCTTGGTGTAGGTCACAGTGAGGAATAGGGAAGCATATACACTGTAGGGAGAAGTATCAAAATCATTTAAGGTCTTTTTTCCAAACTAGTGTGCCTCTCCAACATCCAACAACTCTTGGAAGTCTGGTGCTCCCTCTAGGTGAAAATCATTTGCTGTCGTATGGAGTCACTGTTGCTGAGTTCCATCCCCCAGTTACAGTACAGTGGAAAACAGGTTTAGAATCTAGAACTTGTTTGTATGTTGTCACTTGGTTATATTCCAAGTAGGTTAGAACCATGGAAAAGAGATGGCAAACGGTATAGTTTCTTCTAAATATTCAATTGCATATATGTATGTATATGTAATTATAAATAAAAATGAATTTTTATTGAACTGTTACATGAACATAGGTTTTTGTTGGTTTTTGAGACAGAGCCTCGCTCTGTTGCCTAGGCTGGAGTGCGGTAGCACAATCTTTGCTCACTGTAACCTCTGCCTCCTGAGTTGCTGGGATTACAGGTGTATTCCCCCACACCTGGCTAATTTATATTTTTAGTCGTGATGGGGTTTCACCATCTTGGCCAGGCTGGTCTCAAACTCCTGATCTCAAGTGATCCACCTGTCTTGGTCTCCCAAAGTGTTGGGATTACAGGCATGAGCCACTGTACCCAGCCTGAACATAGTTTAATGGTACTTCAAGGCTAATACGGAAAGCCCCTTGCTCCATCCTTTCCCATTCCTCAGTCCCATCCTGGGAGATACTCAGCCTTCAGTTTTTTCTGACTCGGTTTTTTCAGCCTTCAGTTTTTGGTTTTAGTTTTCTAAATAATATGATTATACAGCCATTTATTTTTTAGGCATTTGTCAACTTACTATTAAGACAGGTGAAAATTTCTTTTATCCTTTCACATCCTTCTAATATTTTGATTAGATCATGTACTTGTTTGCATAACTGTGATCATACTTGTATGTTCACTCATGAACTAGTTTAATGTGCCTACATTTTCATTCTCATACAACATTTTGTCTTGGAGTTAATTGTCTTATTTTTTGGCTTTTTATGCATATCATTGATTCTTCGCAAACAGTCCCAAATAAATTTGTTACAACTTTTCTTGATTCTGTACTTGTTTCAATCTAGACTAATTTCTCTCATCCAGTTGTACAGCAGTTTTCCGGAGACAGCACTATCGTGAGGATTTGTTTTTCTTTCTCTTGAATTGGATCCCTCATTTTCTGGATCCCGTGTCTTAATTTACTTCTTTGTTAACATGGAACACTTCTTTCAGTAGTTACTTGGGAATGAGTGCGTGAGAGATCAGTCAGTTATTTAGTGACTTCATATTTCTGAAAGATGGTTTGCATGGTATAAGAAATTCTAGGTGGAAAAGCAAATTTGGAATTTTTGAAAATTTTGACAAGTGTAATCAAATTTAGAATTTTGAAGGCATTGTTCTATTCTAATTTGCAAAATCTTGAGACATCTGATGCAGTTTTTATTTTTGTTTCTTTGTTTTCTCAGAATCTCTTTGTTTCTCGTGTTCTAAAATTGCATGATACTGTTCTTTGATGGGTTTGGCAACCTGGAAAATATTAAGTTCTTGATCTCTCCCCTTCCTCATTTTCTTTGTTCTGGAACACTATGACATAGTGGAGCTCCCAAATTGAATCTTGGGCTGTATTTTTTTTTTTTTTTTTTTTCTGTCTGGGATATTTCTCTAAGACAATTTTCCAATTTGTACTGCATTTTATTTTTGTCTAGCATTAAATTACTTGTCTCTGTGTAGCTCCACGCTTCACTCTTGCCTCTAAATCCTAGGCCTCCCTGAATTCTGCAGAGTCAGTCCCACTGCCACTCATCAGTGATAGCCCTGCTAAGGCAGATACCACTCTTCTTACCATGTTCAATACATTTGTTGAGCTCTTCTGTATTGTTTCTTCCTATTTTAATTTTTCTGGTTTGTAATTTGTACTCCTGCTTTTTTACTGGGCTTTTGGGAGGAAGAAGGTATAGAGTGTTCATTTGCATGTTGAGTTTATATGCAGGTGACTTTATGAAACTTGTAACTGCTAGACAAGGATGGCTGGGTGTTCAGTGTGTAAGAATGCTTGTGTTAGGCCGGGCGTGGTGGCTCAAGCCTGTAATCCCAGCACTTTGGGAGGCCGAGACAGGCGGATCACGAGGTCAGGAGATTGAGACCATCCTGGCTAACACCGTGAAACCCCGTCTCTACTAAAAATACAAAAAACTAGCTGGGCGAGGTGGCGGGCACCTGTAGTCCCAGCTACTCCGGAGGCTGAGGCAGGAGAATGGCCTAAACCCGGGAGGCGGAGCTTGCAGTGAGCTGAGATCCGGCCACTGCACTCCAGCCCGGGCTACAGAGCAAGACTCCGTCTCAAAAAAAAAAAAAAAAAAAAAAAAAGCTTGTGTTTTTTTGAAAGTAGAAAAATGCTGTGTGATAAGACTAGTTGTTCATTGCTTGATTCTTGATTAATTTTGTCTACTTTCGTTATTTTGAGGCTCAAGCATTTTGAAGTATTCATTGTCTGTGACTCCTCTTTGATGGGTACTAAATTTCCTGGAAGTGAATTTAGATACCTGAGATGTAATATATGAAAGAAAAAGCAAATGCTTGAGAATGTCCCTAGATTAGACACTTCATGTGAGAATATTTCTTTTTGTGAACCAAAACTTTTTTTTTGAGATGAAGTTTCGTTCTTGTTGCCCAGGCTGGAGTCCAATGGTATAATCTCCTGCCTCAGCCTCCTGAGTACCTGGGATTACAGGCAAGTGCCACCAAACCCAGCTAATTTTGTATTTTTAGTAGAGACAGGGTTTCTCCATGTTGGTCAGGCTGGTCTCTAACTCCCGACCTCAGGTAATCTGCCTGTCTCAGCCTCCCAAAGTTCTGGGATTACAGGCGTGAGTCACCGTGCTTGGCCCCAAAACTCTTCTTAAAGGTGGCCTTGCAGGTACATTATAGTTAAAATGAAGTAGGTTGTCTTGCTTTGTTCTTAAGTGGCTCTCCAGAAGTCTAACTGGTCTAGAGACAGTCTTATCCCCCTCACTGGTGTATAGTTGAATTCAAACTTGAATGCGAGGTTTGGGTTTACATCTCATCTCTGCCACTTACAATCAGTGTATCCCTCAACAGTTAAATTCCTTAGTCTCCATGTTCTTCCCCTTCAAGGGAGGTTAATATTCCACAAAGTTAGAAGATTACAGGAGAGAGGAAAAGTAGTAAATGCCCCAACATGAGGTGGTTACTTCTGTTGTATCTTCGAAGGATAGATGGCTTAAGGCAGATCAGGTAGTTGGGAGATTTCTTAAAATCAGCATGATAAGAGCTAACATGAACATTTTCATTATTCAGAGAAATATGACATAGCTTTTTAACGTATAATATGTTTCTGAGAAAAGTTACTAGTTATATTGTCTTCATCCAAGAATTGGTCTTTGGGTACAGATGAGGCTTGAGAAAATGACATTCCCTCTTAGACTAGGTAGTGTGAAGGGGAAAAAAAATGACATTCCTCCTCCCCCAAAGCAGAGTGAAGTCCGTATGGGATATAGGTGTAAAGAAAATTTTGGACTGGGCGTGGTGGCTCATGCTTGTAATCCCAGCACTTTGGGAGGCTAAGGTGGGTGGATCACTTGAAGTCAGGAGTTCAAGACTAGCCTGACCAACACGGTGAAACCCCATCTCTACTAAAAATAAAAAAAATTAGCACGGTGGCACATGCCTGTAATCCCAGCTACTCAGGAGGCTGAGGCAGGAGCATCCAGAGGCAGAGGTTGCAGTAAGCTGGGATCATGCCCCTGCACTCCGGCCTGGGTGACAGAGCAAGACTCCAACTCAAAGAAAATTTTGTGGAACACATTTTCTCACTGACATGAAAAATGTTTCAAAGATGAATAATGTCCATCAAGCCATGGCAATGGAAGTGAGGATGATAAAGGATTGCACAGCTGTGTACAACCTCACTGTTAGTATCCTGCTGGGATAGTTGGTCTCCTCATCACTGTAGCATCTTTTATGTACAGCAGAGGGCAGAAGCTCCTCGGCATGTATGTGAGGGAACCACATAAATGGAAGGCTGATATTCCTGAGAAGGGAGGATGTGCAAACACTCACAGAATAAAGCCTTTGTAAAGGAAAGGCGGCTGATGAGATGGAGTGCTTCCTTCACCTGCGGTGGGTCTGTAGCCATGAAATCTCCCACTCAAAATCGCTTTTTGTAGCTACTGGAAGCACTAGGCCTCTGACCTGCCATCATCCTTGTTATGATGTCATAATCATATTCTGTCCCTGTTTATTGCAGTTCTCTGGTTTGTCTGGAGTGTTTGCAAGTCAGTC